CGCCCACCCCATACTACGCCTGGCCAAGCGCCACCGCGCCACCGGCCTGCTCACCGGCGAGGCCCTCCTTCCCCACTGCCACCATGGCCGTTCCACGCCATCACTGCAGGCCGTTCTACGCCACCACCGCATGTCGTTCATCGTAACAACACCCTGGATCCGCACCGACTCCCTTTCCCAGCGCGCCGCCGCCGACCGGCTCCCTCCCCTAGAGCGCCGTAGCGGCCCCAACCCCATTTCCTTGCTGTAGCACAACGCCATCGACTGCGCCCTTCCCCATCTTCCCCTGGTGCCTCGTGGTGGAATCCAAGGGAGGTACAGGCCATTCACAGCCGCCACCCCCTTAGTCCGTTCAGCACCGCCAACCAAGGCCGTTCAACGAGGGGCCGTTCGAAAGCAGCGGTCAGAAGCTTTCCTCTCGTTTTCTTTCGCCTCTTTAACATTTTTTCAACTTTGGGGACTAGTTGAGTGCATTTCAACGAGGCCTTCCATGTGCTGATCGTGTGTGCTTGTCCAAGTCGAGCGCGGACATCAGTCCAAATAGAATCAGGGCCACCATCTTCACCAAGGGCTACACAACCGTCCAAGCTGATCACATACAACAGTCCAAGGTGACGCATGATCACTAATGGATTCTACATCTTTTTATTAGTTCGAAGTCTGCAAGTCTCAATTCTATGGAAGCTTGCCAGCGATGCGTCCAACATGCTTTCGGCAATAGTGGCACCACAAACAGCATTGGCAGCCAGCACACACACTGCATCCTCGACTCTGCACACCGCCGCCATGGACGTAAACTACACAGATTTTTTTTAGCAGTTTGGCAAAATAGAAGTTTGATATCAGTTCACCCTTGAGAGGTAGTAAGTGCGGAGCAGAAACATTGTAGTAGTTTAGCAAATAAGTTTACATGTACAATCGCTTCAGTAATCAGTAGAAGGCCACTTGATTTACTGTCTAATCTTGGAGATAAGTCCAATATCCTAAGTTTGTGATGGCAGGTCACTCGTCTGAAGGGCCCACGACACATGTGCCTCCTCGCTGCTCGTGATCTCCGCCTTAATCGGCTCCACTTCGCCAGAGCAATCAGTCCAGAGGAGGAGGTGTAGCCGTCCACCCGATCTCTGATGTCTTATTCCACCTCCAAATTTTTTGAGTTCTATTCTTCGTCATAGGTTCACTGCTATTACCTCAGTAAAAAAAGTGCCAAAAAGTTCAGTTCATACTATACTAAATGTCCATATTGTAGATAAATTTGCATTGTCTTAAATTTCTGGAAGCAAGCTTCAGTACAAGAAAAATGGATCAGTCAGTTCATCCATATGCAAACCCCCCGTGACAAAACGTATCTCTATTGTAATTAGGTAAGGATGTGCAACATATGTTTAAGCAAAGCATGTATACCGTGTTACAAAACAAACTTCGCTCGGTTCCATAGAAGATTGTGTGATTTTTAAAATATATTTTAGAAAAGAAGTGTACACACAGTAGCTTGGCATTTGATAATTGCTTGCAACTCATACATTAATTTGATGATTATGTAATTGCATCAGGGCATTACCGCAGGTCTAATAGTCCAGTGTGTATTTGATAATCAGTTCAAAGACTGTCGCATAGCAATTGTAGTTGCTTGGTATCTCACTGGATATCCCCTCTCATTATTAGCTGATGATGTGGATGATTCTGTTTGTTTACTTAATAGGACAGGGACATTTTCCTCTCTGATTCTTGATGTGCCGCTGCCGCGGTTTGTCTACCATGCCACAAGAAACTAAAATGCTTTTATGTTCATCTACTCCGCGATTGTTTTTCTGCTGCTACAAATGTGTGTGTACTGCTACAAATGTGTGTGTGCTGCTACAAATGTGTGTGCCATGGATTAAACCCAGTTTGATCATGACATGGTCAAAAATTGATGATGGGCATTAGCAGGTTCTTCAATGCAGTGTCTGCGGTTCGATTTGATTTGGTTGGGCAGGAAGGGAGAAGCAACGCGGATGGTATGATGTGTTCCATTTCATCCATTTTATTGTTCTATGTGCACGCTTGATCAAAACAACAGCACAATGGTCCTCCCTTCCACTAGTTTTTATTCCCTCTTTTTTTGGTTCTAGGCAGGATGCCATGGATGGAGAAATGTGAAGAAGATTTTCGTCAGGGTCGTCTGCACTGACTAGCTTCAGCCAGGAGGACAAAAAAGAACAGTAGAATGAATACTAGGTCACACTTCAATACATCAAAAGCCTCGTGCCATGCTTGATGGCCAATTCATCATTATAATCATAAATTTCTTTCAGTTCTGAAACGTGTACCGTTCTAGGAACATTGTTGTGCAGAGCAAAAGTGTGCGATGGATATTCTCTTCACAATTTTTGTGTTTTGGAGTAAATCAACATAGATTGTTGACACAGTAGCTTCTAATTTTTACACTGGATTTGGAGATATGAACAATGATTGATTTTGATCAGTACTTGGTTGTGTGATATTTTCTGAAACTAGGACGACCTTGACCTTCGTCTGCTTCTCGTTTCCACCAACATCCAGGACGACCTCGACCTACTGCCACTAGCTTTTGGTGCACCTCCTGTTAGCTGCTAGCTGTTACCCAGTGTTCTTGATGCCACCGCTACAAAGAAGGTAATAAAAAATATTCACTGCCGCTATTGTCTTGCAAGTTCAGAAATTGGGTTCGACATTGTGTGGGCATGCAGCATAATTCTAAGAAATTAAATATAGAAGTTCATATATAAAGCATAACTATGCTGCATACTCTGTTATAAGTTCTAAGGAAATAAATATAGAAGTTCATATTTCAAAACAAATGAAGTATTTTTGAAGTAAAACAAACTATTTCAAAGTACATAAATTATATTTAGGTATCTTTGTGTACTTCAGTATTAATGTACATGAACTTGTTCTTTTTATGTGAACTTATACATTTGCCCATCCGACAAACAGTTTGATTTGCACTTTTTTTTGCCATATTTGACCTGTCTCTAGTTCCATCTCGTTTTCGAGTTCTTCTGACCAAGAGCTAGTAAGATCAAACATGAATTTACACCAGTTCAAAAAACAGTTTGTTGGGAAATAAGATTAAGACCAGAAACTAGAAAATATGTACAAAAAAAGTTAAAAAGCGTTTCATCGAGACCTATATAAAGAAAACAATTTATTGATCTATGAATTTAAATAAAAACTTGGAAAAGTTCGAAAAAAATCACATAGAAAGTTCGAACTCCAAAACCTGGCAAGTTCATGGTAAAAAACAAAAATAGGCAGAAAAGGTACACCCCCATTGATTCATTCAAAAATAGAAAAGTTGGGAAGCTCACGTGCATACCTCTAAAAAGAGTTCAATATAGCAGTTCAAAAAAATTAAAAAATGAGTAGTTCTAAGTTAAAAATACAATATGTGAGTTCAATATAGCAGTCCAACACTGTTCCCATATATATGTGAGGTGCTTGCATGTTGGGGTGTTGCATCTCCGGCGAGGTCGCTGTAATGCACCAGCTCCACCACAGTAACCTCATCTTTGGTTTATCTTCTGTATGACCTATAGGAGTTCTCCGGTGGTTGTTCAACATAATTTGCTGTAAGTTTCTTTCTCATAGATTTTTATTCAATATATTTCTTGCTGATCCTCACACATGCGGTTAACAGAAAATGAAGTTCAAAAACATCATCGGGGCAGGTTCATGGATCGTCACACTCTTGCTCACAGTTCAGTTTGTGTGTGTTACTCCACAATATATAATTTTCCGTTTAATTCTTATTTCCGTTCAGTTCAATATATAATTCTAGTTAAGTTCAATATATAATTTTAGTTTAGTTCAAGATCTTGAGTATCACCTTTTTCTGCCATGAACTCATGCTATAATATGGGCAGCTAAGTTCACTCTGAATATGTTGATATTAAACCAGTAGTTGGCTCTAAACTCTCATATTCGTCTTAACAGTTGACAGGTCTGAATGTGTTGCCGCTGCCATGTTGATTTCCTGTTGCGACCTTGTTGATTCCCCGCCTTCGAACTGCTCCCTCAATCCCCTGCGTGGACCACCGTCGATTGTGGGATGCACCTTCCGTGCGCAACCATGTGACCATGTAGATGCACGTCTTCA